AGGAAGTAAGGACATGATACACATGGGATTCAGGATGATGCTGGTCTCTTCTGGCCTATCAAAGATGAACTGTCAATATTTGTCAAGTTAATAAACAAAATGACTTGCCTACTCACCTCATCAGGAGGGTGTGTGTGTATGAAAGAAGAGTCTAATGGCTCGATGTGGGTTATGGTTAAGTCCTATCTTTTTGAGGTGGTGTGGGGCTCATGGAATTGTGACGAAATTGTGAAAATCAGTGAACTGGCTGGACTCCTGGTGTAGCTCTGTAGGCATCAGCACTGGACTGTGAACCATAAGGTCGGCAGTTCCAATCCACCAGCTGCTCAGAAACCCTATACAGGGTCTCTGAGTTGGAACCGACTTGACAGCACTTAACAACAACAAGTTAGTTAAAAGTGGGCCCTGCATGAACCAATCATGAAAATATGCCATGCACTACAGGATTATGAACAATACTGTGTCCCTGAGGTTCATAAAGAAAATTCAAAAGGGGTCGAATGTGTGGTTTGAGGGGTCAGTGGTCCTGCTCTGGTGACCATGCCGCCTGGATTCTTCCATTTAGTGCCACTTTCTTTCGTTTAACTGAATGGCTTTTTGGCAAATATCTCTGATACAGAGATATCAGAGATTCTGGGTTGCTAAACTTTTGGGAAGGGGAGCTACTGAAAGTCACAGATAGAGAGTATGAAGGGTAAGGCAGGGGGGGTGTTTACTGCTTTGAGTGATGATTGGTAATATCAATATCAATTTTTTTTCTTAGCAGGATAGAGACTGGGACCCACAACCAGCTGCATCTTCTCTTAGCCCGAAAGCAATCCTGAGATGAGGGAAAGAGGGGATGGGCTTAAGAGATGTGTGTACCAGGTAAAAGTCAAATATCCAGACGGCCCCATTTACTCTGTTGGGTGTCTGCCATGAGCATAGGTTACAAAGCTGGAAGAGTCCCTAGAGACAGTCCCAGGTCACCCCTTACTTTCAGGTGAGAAAACTTAGGCCCAGACAGAGGAAGTGTCTTGCCCTGGAGTTGATATAGAGAAGAGGGCTGAGAGACTATCAAAAAACCAGGTTTGTTTTGAAGAAAGGGTCTCTTTATTGCCAACTTGAACTCAACTGTTAGACACAAGTTGGTCCCCAGTCCAGCTCCAGCCAAGCCCAGGCATTAACCTCTCCCTTTTTACTCAGGCTGCTGGTTGGTCGACCTGTCTACTTTGTTGATTGAGTCTGAAGCATAACCCGACTCATCCATTCAGCTATTGTCCCAAGGGTTCATCTGGGAATGCAGTTGCCTGGAGTAAACTGGAAGGGTAGGCAGGTCCCAGCTGGAGGAGAGGGAGGGGATGGGAATTGTTAAAAGCAACAATAACAAAAACAAAACCCCCAGGCCACTGTTATCAAGTTAATTCTGATTCTACTGTACAAGACAGTGTAGAACTACTCCCTAGAGTTTCCAAAACTGTATGGGAGGAGACCAGGTAATATAGTGGTTTATAAACTGGGCTGTTAACTGCAAGGTCAGCAGTCTAAATCTACCAGTCATCCACAGGAGAAAGAGGAGGCATTCATACCCTGTAAAGATTTGCTGTTGTTGTTGTTGTTAAGTGCCGTCGAGTCGGTTCCGACCCATAGCGACCCTGTACAGGGTTTCCGAGGGTGTAAATCTTTACAGGAGTAGAAAGCCTCATCTTTTTCCTGCGGAGCGGCTGGTAGTTTCGAACCGCTGACCTTAAGGTTCGCAGCCCGAGTACAGCCTCAGAAATACTGTTGTGGCTGTTATATGCTATCAAGTTGGTTCTGACTTATAGAGACCTTGTATCGCTTTCCAAGGAGAGGCTGGTAGGTTTCAATGGCCAACTTTATGGTTAGCAGTCCAATGCGTATGCAGCATCACACTAGGATTCGTTATGAGTTGGAGCTGACTCGCTGGCAAACCACCACCACCAATCTTTATGGAAGCAGACTGCTTCATCTTTCTCCTGTGGAACGAACAGCTGGTAGGTTTGAATCACTGAACTTTAATTTAGTAGCCCAATGCTTAACCCAACTGCTTCATCAGGGTTGTGTTAGATGGCTGAGAAATACCTGCCAATTGCCTTACTAAGTCAGAAAATCTTCTTCCCTTGCTTGTTTCTTGGTTGCTGACATTCTTGATTGGTGGACATTAATGAAGTATGAAAGACATTCATCCAAGACTCAAATGTGGAGGCAGAACAATCATGACTGCAATTTTGTATCATTTTACACAACATTCTTTCATAACTGCTATCTCATTTAATGTTCAGAATAATACCCATTTCACAGAGAAGAAAACCAAGGCTCACAAAAATAATGTGGTGGGCTCATAGCAAGTTAAGTAGCACACCAGCCCTTGTGGGTAGACTTTTGAACTCAGTTGTTCATTTCCCCACTATTTTAGGAACTCATTGGAGCAGTGTCATTAACTGGGTACCGGTCCTTTTGATTCTCTACTCTTCTTCAACGTAATCTCTTGGTATATAATTAAAATGAAATTTTAAGAGATTACCTCCAGCAACTCCCAGGCCACTCTCCTTTCCCCTGCCCTCCCTTGGAAGGGAGACAGACCTCTGTTCAGTCAAGTCGCCCATGAACTGGGGTATAGAACAAACTACCTACTGTATTGCTTGACCCCTTGTTGTTGGTAAGTGCCATCAACTTGGTTCCAACTCACAGTGACCTGGTATAGAGTTTCTAAGACTTTAAATCTTTGTGGGAGCAGAAAGCCTCATTGCGTCTCCTGTGGAGCAGCTGGTGGGCTCAAACCGTTGGTGTTGTGATTCATGGTCCAGCGTTTATCATACGGCACTACCGCATTCCCTGCTTGGCCCCTAGTATGGGTTTTACTGATATTATCTCCCTTTCTTACCTCCTCCATTAGATTTACACCTTTGTCCTCTGCCTTCCGTTTCCTCTCGCAGCTACCCCCAGCCCCTGCTATGTTTTAGTTCCTGGGGAAACTCTTGGTTGGTTTCAACTCAGCTCCAACCAAACATCTCAGGGTCCTGGTTTCCCTTCCAGCTCAGAGATGACGAACTAAGAACATAAGGCGGCATTTGTTCTTCAATGGGGTAAGGATTAATTAAGTGTGCTGCAGAGAAAGCACCAAAGAACCAGTTGGTGGAGTATAATTTCTCATTCTGCCTGACCTTCTGACTTGCTCTGTGGTGTGGGCAAACCCCTCAACTTCTCTGAACCTGTGTCCTTGTGGGTAATTAGGAATTCTTCTTAGGAGATGGGGACACAGATTAAAGGGTTAACAACTAATAATGAAATGGGTAAGTGCTCTACCAGGCTAACAATGAGGCAAGAGGAGGCCCTGAGCAGCCTGGCCAGCTCATTTGTCTGCTTTTCTAGCCAAGCAGCCTGCCCCTGGGACCTTATTCCACTCTTTTTCTCTGCAGTGCTGAGCATGCTCTTCTTTGCTTTGGACAAAAGTCAGCAGGGACAGAACTGGGGTTTCTGGGGTGTGGAATAAGGAAAAAAAAAAAAAAAGCAGGATCATGTAAAAAGGGGCTTTCTGGTTCTGCCCTGATGGATGGGAGCTTTTGGCTTCCCATGGTCTCAGAGGGAAACCCTAGAGCCAGAGATGCTGCTGTTGCTAGGTGATGGGATAAACAGGTCCTTGGTGGCTCCAGCAGGTGAGGGAAAGCACAGGGGAAGGGGTGTGGAAAGTTCTCTACGTGAACCAGGAGACCCAAGGCTGCTGAATCAACTTGCAGAGTGGGGTTCTACAACAGACAGACTGGCTCAGGTGCTCAGGGGGCTGTGAGGGGGCCTCACACTGCTTTCTGACCCCTGACCCTGCAGCCCAGTCCGCTGCAAGCTTCTGCAGTGGTTTCACCTGCAACTGTAGGCAACTTGATGCCTTTGCTAGGCTGGAACCAGGAGCCTCTCTCTTGGGTGCCTCAGTCATGACAGGTAAGGCAAGGAGAGGGGGCTAGGGGGCACGAAGACCATGGGGCAGGGCAGGAGGGAACTGATGTGAGACCAGGTGTGGAACAGCAGTCCCAAGTGCATGGAAAGTTCTCAGGAGATGACCAAGTGTCCCTCCACTAGGCAATCTCCTTCAGCCTGGACCACACAGTGTGGGTATCCAAGCGCTCCTATTAAGAAGGCTCAGAAACATTCTCCCTAGCTACTGCCTTATATTCTTGCGTCCTTACAATGTTTTCCCTCAGGTCTAACCTCAGCCTGGGCTGCTACATTAGAAACCATTTGCCTTGTTCTAAACCACATAGGTGCTGACCTGTTGGCAATTTGAGCCGAGTGCCTCAGCCCCCAGCCAAGCACAAAATGACTCCAGGGCAGAGCACAGGGCAAACGGGAGGTATCAGGTGGCCTGCTAGTATTCTGCTGCCAGCCTTCTACTCACCTGCTGTTATTTAAGACTCAGCCTTTGTGTTTGATACAACTCTTAAGTCCAGGGAGGGCCTGGGAAGAAGATGATGCAACTATTCTTGTCTCACAAGTGGGGAAACAAAGGCACAGAGCAGTTATACTCTCTCTACCTAGGTTGTATGGCAAGATAGCGTGAAAGACCAAAAAACTAAACTCTCTGCTGTGGGGTCGATTCTGACGCACAGTGATCCTGTATAAGGTTCTTGGGATTGTAGATCTTTAAGGAAGCAGACAACCTCATCTTTCTTCCTTGGTATCACTGGTGCGTTTGAATCGCTGGCTTTGTGGTTAGCAGACCAACAGGAAGGAGGTTTTAATGTGTGCCAGTGCGTTGAGTTGAACTGAAGGAAGACCTTTTCCCCACTGGAGGATCCTTGCCTTCAGGTGATGCTGCTGTTAACTGGTACCCTTATAAATTCCTCTAAGAGTATTCTCTTGGTCTTACGGGAAGCAGTCTTCCCCAATTCTCAACAATTCTACTTTGTTCAGCTTCCTTTCTGCCACACAGTGGTGGGTCCATTTATGCCACAGCAGGGCCTGATGGGAAAGAACATGCTCCCAACTTTGTACACCTAACAGCATACCTGGGCAATGGCTGAAGGGAGTGGAATAGCCATCAGGGGTTAAGCCACCAGAGGTCAGACTGTTGTCTTTATTTTCTCCATTGATATTGAATTTATTCTGACTCATAGTGATGCTATAGAACAGAGTAGAACTGACCCATAGGTTTCCAAGGTTGGAATCTTTACAAAAGCATATTGCCACATCTTTCTCCTGTGGAGTAATTGATGGATTCGAACAGTCAACCTTTCAGTTAACAGCTAAGCATTTTAACTACTGTGCCACCAGGGCTTCTTTTAGATCTGCTAATCCTGGTGTGGCTCTGTGGGTTAATGCATCAGACTGCAAAGTCACTTGAACTGCAAAATCAGTGGTTCAAACTCACCAGCTGTTCCTTGGAAACCCTATACAGGGTCACTATGGGTCAGAATTGACTTGATGGCACTTAACAACAACAACAACAACAATCTTGACCAAAAGGGGAGAGGGGAAACATAAGACAGATTCTAAAATTCTCCTAGACTCCAGACTTTCTGAATCCATGGAAGCTGGATGAACTCCTAAAACTTGCCCTGAGATCATCTTTCAACCTTAAACCAAGAATATTTCTTAAAGTCTTCTTGACACCAAAAAACAGTTTAGCTTAACTAGTAAAAGAAAATGTCTGCCTTGAGCATTATGCTCTTTTAAGAACTACCTATATGAGGTCAAATTGACAATATCAACTCAAAATATTAGATAGGAACCTTAGGAGGCAGTGAATTTATGCTAATGGAGAGGAACAACTCAGAAAAGGAGGTTAAGAATGTTGCATAATTAAAGACTGTCATCAATATCACTGAATTGTACATGTATAAATGGTTGAATTGGTGTATGCTTTGCTGTGTGTATTCTTACCAATACCTAAAAAACACTCCAAAAACCGAAATCCATTGCCACGTTGATTCTGCTCATGTTGATCCCCTGTGTTACAGAGCAGGTCACAGCTCCTCAGGCTTTCTTGACTTTTCTCTTATGAAAACAGATTGCCAGCCCTGTCTTCCACGTTGCCACTGGGTGGGTTTGAACAACCAACCTTTTGATTAGCAGTCAGTCTCAAACCATCTATACCACACAGGAACCTTGTCCAGGAACCTTGTTGCTGTTGTTGTCAAGTGTTGTGAAGTCGGTTCCAACTCATAGCAACCCTATATATGGTTTCTGAGGAGCAGCTGGTGTGTTTGAACCACTAACCTCATGGTTAGCAGTCCAGTGCTTATCTTATAACACCACACCAGGACTCCTTTAGGGGTTAGCTACTGGAAGTCCTGGTGTGGTACTATCTGATGTCTATAGAACATCAGACAGTCTGATGCCTACAGAAGCATCCCATGAAGCTTATCCTATCTTTGAAATGTCATACTCATTTTGCTTGTCCTGAACCATCCTTTAAACATTAAGGAGGAGGTGGGGTAGAAGAGGACTTTGTTGTAATAGGGTCTGACTCCACTATTTGTCTGCTTAGGTAAATCACTTAACTTTTCCCAGACTAGGTTTCCTCTTTTGGAATGTGGATTTGATCAAACTGACTTCACAAGATGGTGTTGTTGTTGTTGTTATTAAGTGCCATCGAGTCGGTTCTGACCCATAGCAACCCTGTATAGGGTTTACAAGGAGCAGCTCATGAGCTTGAACCACTGACCTTGCAATTCAGTGACTTTGCAGTCCAGCTCATTAACCCACAGCGCCACATCTGGATGGCAAGGTGTTAATGTGAAGTGCTTTGCCTTCTAGTTTTGATGAGTCTTGTCAAACCCTCAGGAGGCCCTTCTGGCCCTCTCAGGATCTTACAGGCTTGCCCTGGTCCCCTCAATTAATCTTTGTAGTTCAAGGGGCCTTAGCTGCTTTGCTTTTCCTATGCTCTCTGTCTCTGCTTTCCCAAGCTCTGAGTTAGGCACACTGGCCGGAATCCACTGCTGCCTTTACCAGTGTGTGGTCCTGGACAAGTTACTTAGTTTTACTGAATCTTTGTTTCCTCACCTATAACTTGGGAAGAACATGATCTACTCCATAGGGTTATTGGGAAGACTAAGAGAAGATACGCCAGGCTTGGTGCTTGTAACATAGAGGAGTTTAGAAAGTTATAGTCCCTTTAGAGGTTTGGGGAGCAGAACTCAACACAGAATTCAAGGAGGGTCCCCGTGATGATTCTGTGCAAGGACAGGACTGAGCATTCTCCTTGGTTTGGGTGCTCCTATGACAACCAGCCTGGGGGTGGGGTGGGGTAGGGGCAGGCGGGGACACCTGGTAGCTGCAATAGCAAAGGACTGCCATCTCCTGGCCACGGTCTGTAGTGACTCCTTGCTGTCTTTCCTACAAACTCTGAACTCATTGTCCTATAAATACCTAGAACTTCAAGGGAACTTTAGTGACTTCTGTACAGCTATTACTTTGCGGTTGCATAACCTGAAGCTCTTTTATCCTTCTTCCCACTCACGTAATTTTATGAGTGTTTCGTGAGGCTCTTCCCTTGGAATCCTGCAACCTGGGTCTGAACTCCTGAATCCTACCTCTGTTACTTATGGGTCTGGGGCCCGGGGTGGGGGTGGGGAGGGCCTGTTTGTTTAGCCATTCAGTGTCTCAATTTCCTTCATATGTATAGTGTATGTGTGAAAGAATAGATGTTATCATTCTCCTAAGGAGAACAAAATATGCATAGACTATAGCAGCAGTTCTGACACATAGTAACAGCACATTAAATGTTATTTAGCATAATAAGAATAATTATAAATGTAGTAATAATAATAATTTGTCCATTCAGTCAGCCACTGTTCTGGGGGGCTGGAAATCCAGACGTGAACAAAATAGGTTAAGTCTTTGTGCCCATAGTCTATTATTTTTGTCAGTAACTAATAACAGTATTAATAAGGCAAATACTTGATATAGTAGCTTCTCGAATTACTAAACATTAATGGGAAACAGCCTAGTAGAGGGTCTGGCATATATGCAATAGGAACTGAACAAATGGAAACTAATTTTATTCTTTTATTAGACCGGGGAGCCTCATTTCAAGAGGGCATGTGATGGGCTAGAACGTGCCTAGGGGAGAGTGACTGAGGCAGTTGTTGTTGTTGTTGCTGTTAGCAGTCACTGAGTCAGTCCTGGTCTCAGTGGAACAAAATACTGCCCAGTCCTGCACCATCCCCATGAATGATTTTGGATCAGACCAAAATAATCTACAGGGCTTTTATTGGCTGTTTTTCAGAAGTAGATCTCCAGGTATTTCTTCCTAGTCTGTCTTGATCTGGAAGTTCTATAGAAACATGTTCAGCACTGTATTCACATACAAGCCTCCACTGACAGATGGGTGGTAGCTTTGCTTGAAGTGTATGGGCCAGCAATCAAAGTTGCATCTCCCTCATGGAAGGGGAGAACGTTCCACTGAATCACCCAAATCTTGTTAAGTGCTATCAAGTTAGTTCTGACCCATAGCGACCCTGCATAGGGTTTCCAAGGAGCAGCTGGTGAGCTTGAACCGCCGACCTTATGATTCAAACCAACTTTGAACCCGCAGCAGCACATCAGGACTCCAACCAAGGCAGATGGGGGGGCCTGAAAAGAGTCATGTGACCTATGAGACCACTCTATGATGAGAGGATACAGGTCAGAGAAGAAATGATCTATAGAATAGGGTGTTTTAAACATATGGAGCTATCATGAGGAAGAGACAAGAGACTAATCCTGAGGAAATTGCAGAAACACTGCATCCTTTCAGCAAAGAGAAGATTATTTTAAGCAACCAAAGCTTCCTGGAATGGAACGGATGGCTCCAAGGGTCTGGGATTCACGGAAAATGTGGATTGTGAACATGCCCAAAGCAGACAAAGGCAAAGCCAGATAAGGGCTAGGGGAACCCAGAGGATTCTGTGGAACACTTCAGAGGTGCTGCCAAGGGAGGAGGGAAGAGGAGGGTCAGCTGGGGTCCACAGCCCTTTCAACCACTGCACTACTCCAATTTTTTTCTTCTGTTTTCTAAATGTGGATTCTGCACCAGATTTCAATGGGGCAAAGGGCTTTGAGGTGGAGACAAATTTGAGAAAGCAACTTCTCTTTTCTGTAGGATCTGTGACTCTGAAGAGCTTGCTGTTGACCTAGAACTTCTATTGGCTCTTTCCACAAATAAGACTAACCTAGGCCTGAGTTGGGGTCTGTCTGGTGGCTGAGTGGTAGAACTCTTGCCTTTCCTGGAGAAGACCCAGGTTCAATTCCCAGTCAATGCACCCATCCAACCGTGGAAGCTTGCAGCTGCTGCGATGCTGACAGTTTCCAGGATTGGGAAGAAAGGCCTAGTGATTGACTTCTGAAAATTAGTGAAAACCCAAACACGGATGACAATGGTCTGATCCAATTGATCCCGGGAATGGTATGGACTAGGCAGGGCTTGGTTCCTTTGTGCAAGTGGTCCCCAGGAATCACGGGCTGATTGGGCAGTACTGAAGAAGAACAAGGCCTGATTTATTCATAGCATTTTTCTCCTCCTTAAATCAGTTTTCTTTCCTGAATGAATCTCATGGTAACTTGTGTGTTTGTTTGTTTGTTTTTCCTAAGCAACATTCATTGGGTATGAAATTTTATCTTTGTCATATTGAAAGTCTAAGTTAATTATGCCCACTGATTTCTCTTTGTTCCTGTGTTTATTTCCTCCTTAGTGACCTTTAGTAGATTAGTGAGGGAGGAGTCTCCTTGCAGAAACTACATTGTCTTTACTTGGTGCAGTTAAGCCAGCTGATGCAGTCTCCATTGAAGGCATGCTTTATTATACAAGGGGGCTTCAAAAAGGTTCATGGAAAAACAGAATTAAAAGATAAAAATATATAAATTTTACTTCTCAACATAAACTCCATCAAGGTCAAGACACTTTTGTAAATGATGATACCAGCCACGTAGTCCATCCCTAAAGAACTGAAGGTCCTGGGAACTTAACTATGCCCATGTAGTCTTTAATACATTATGGACTGAAGCAAAATGGGTGCCCTTTAAAGATTTTCTTAAGATTAGAAAATGAAAAGAAATCAGA